GAGGTATACGAGGAGGAGAGAAGGGAACTAGTGAGAACAATGGAGACCAACAACATACCATTCAACACTAAGAACCTACTCTTCCCGAGACCAGATCTGAAACTGCAAATCTTCGAACAAATCCACGCCCTAATGGACACAGTTGGACTAAGTAGAATAGTGAAGTAAGAGGGGGTCACGGTTAGACGGGCCCGGCATCTAAACACTAAATTACATACGGGATTTATACCAAACTGGCAGGATAGTGGAGTAAGGGGGAGTCACGATCAGACTGACTCGGCATCTAAACACTATTCCACCAAAAACAGACACCAAACCTACAGAGTGGGATAGTGGAGTAAGGGGAGGTCACGATAAGACGGGCCTGGCACTTAAACACAAACCCCACAAAGATGACATCTACCAAACTAGCAGGATAGTGGAGTAAGGGGGAGTTATGGTCAGACGAACTTGGCACCTGAACACTATCCCGCAAATAAAACTGATACCAAACCCAGAGAGTGGGATACTGGAGTAAGGGGAGGCCATGATAAGACGGGTCTGGCACCTAAACACTAACCCCAAACGATGACATCTACCAATCCAGAAGCAGACGAGATCATCTACCAAACGATATGTTTTATATTAAATAAAGGGAAGAACTTCCCACTAAACCAAATCCATGGCCTAAGGCCAAATGGAAAGATTGCAAAATCATATTCTAAAAAACAGGAATCAGCTTCGGCTCTCTTATGTCTTGTCTGCGATATCACTTATGTGGAAGCAGACGTTAAACACCAAGAACTACTACTACTTCATATTTTATCATTGCTTGATAATGATTAGAGAAGCCTAGTCGTAACGTCACTCAGTAATAAGTAGTAATTGTATTCCATAGAATTGTGACCAGTATATTCCAGTTCATTTACTTAATTCTATTGAAACAATTTACTTGATATCATCATGGCAGAATCTTATGAAAATCAGTTTAAAGGAGAGCTTTACAAGAAATATGAAGTTTGCTAGAAAATTTTAATTCCAAAGGAGGCGTATTTCACAATGATAGAGGATATTAAAGCAGCAGCAGGAGCTGGTGGAACAAAGAACAGACATGGATACTACCTACTATCAAAGTAAGTACGACAAAGACAATTTATTTCCTTAATTTTCAAAATTTACAAATTTGACATAAATATTCGAACAGCTGAGGTCAATTCGATTCCAAAAATATAAGTTCCATTCAAAATTATATCATTTCTTTTTTCAATATTTTCTCGCCATTTTTTTAGTTTTTTCCCACCATTTCCATTTCATTTTCTGATCTGTCTCGTTTTTAAACAGTTTGATTGATTTTTCTGAAACATCTGGAACTGGAAGTCAATAAGATTACAGCAATACAAGTCTCCGTCATTTCTTTTTTTTTTTTTCAGATTATTTTTTCGCCCGGGTGAAACGTTTCTCGCTATATTTAAGCTTATAACTTCGCGAGTTTTTGAGCGATTTTAATAATTATTTTTTCTTGTAAAGATTCTTTATATAACCCATGATAGGTAACAGGAAGTGGCCGTGAATATGAAAGCTTTCATATCTGCCTGGCATATCTAGTTATACATGTTTTTGTTCTGTCAGCGTTTTTTGAATATAGGGTGGGTATGGGGTGTATTTTTCATACATTACATATATGCATGGTCTAAGTATTTTTTAAATATAGTTTTTAAAAATTTATCGTATTTTTTCAGGTTTGAGATACTGCAGTGTGGTGATGTTGAGAACTCATCAAAAAACGTGCCACCCAAGATGAGGATCCAGTATATTATGTCAGTACGACCTGGTCAAGTGAGCTCACACAGCCACAGGCCATGGTGGACGTGATCGAATGGCCCAAGAGGTCAATAAAAGGATGCCAACGTCACTTGCGAGGCTCTTGAAATTTTCAAGTCCTATTGCCAGGAATGTCAGAAGAAACGCAAGCGCCCAAGGATCAAGGATGTGGTGGTACGTTGCATTCTAACAAAAGAATTTGCATTGCGTGCACAAGCCCAAATTTCACTCTAGTGGATCATGGTCTATCAAGACCACTTGACCAAATTTGTTATTCTACAAGCATTTTAAGTTCAAAACGTGCTGCTGAGGTTGCCCATCATCTACTGGATATTTTTCTATCTATCCTCCAGAGTGACAATGGAAGCGAATTTACAGCCGAGGTTATCTTTGAACTGAAGCTGGTGTGGCCCCGACTGGTCATGGTTCATGGTAAACCTCGACACCCTCAAAGTCAAGGGTCTGTGGAAAGGGCAAATGGTGACATAAAGGATATGCTTGTTGCTTGGATGGGAGATAATAACACAAATGATTGGTCTGTTGGCATAAAATTTGTACAATTCCAGAAAAAATTTCCAGTCTGCAAGACTCAATCACCAATCTTGACCCGGCACAAACTACCAGTCAGGAACCGTCACAGACTACCACTCAGGAAGCGTCACAAGCTACCATTCTGGAACTAACACTAACTACCAGTCAGGAATCGACACAAATTAACCCCCAGCTAGCCTAATTGAACAGGGGAATAGTCCCTTCGATTTACTCAATGCCCGCTTGCAAAACATCCTATGTGAAAGAAATGGTGCCAGCTCTGCTAAGATGATACAAGCTCAGCGTATGGTCAAGAGGAGTCGAGTGGAACTAGCCACTGGCCAGGTGGAAGACAATGTAGCTGTACCTATCTCTCTAGTGGATAGGGGTCAGGGTGATCCACGTAATATTCTGGGAATATCATCGACCGCGATGAGAATAACATGTACACCATTTGTATCAATGCAGGGATTTTAAAAGGGAAGTTTTCACGCAATCAGTTTGATTTGTGTCCCCAACAGTTACTTATTGAATCTGATGTAGACTGTACAAAGACGGTAACACTTCATCAGTCTGTACATAAAGAATTCAGCTGCGGGGACAGGGGTATGTCCGGTGCAATTGTGCAGGCTCCAAGGGATGTGGGATGAATAGATGCAAATGCTTCAAAATCAAAATCAAATGCTCCAGCCGTTGTCATAGCAGTGTGTTATGCAAAAACAAGTGACTTGACAGTAGGACTTTTGTGTTCAAATTAATATTTTGTTTCAACGAATTAATATTTCATTTCAACGAATTAATATTTCGTTAAAATTAATATTCTACAATGTATGATTTAACGCTAGATGTGAAGTTTGACAGTGCTTCAGTCATTTCGCGTAATGTTTGCCCATGATTTTTAGTCATTGCGTGTAATGACTGGAATTTTCAGTCATTGCACGTATTGCCTGACGCCCACAGGCATTTCATGTTTAGTCATTACATGAAATGGCTGATTACACATATATATTTGTAAGTACTTTCGCTAATGCTCTTCAGACAAATATACAATGGTTAAAAAATAAAGATAACACATTGTGTTATATACTATTCAAAAAAAGTAGGGGATATTTGATTTTGGGGGCATAATACTAAAATATGCAAATGACTACGAAAAAAGTCACTATAGAACCTAACAGAAGAAACATTTCCAGTTACATGTGACGCCCAAACGCACCAATAGCTACCGCATGGAATGCAGGTGATGCTTGGGATCATCATGGGGGTCCAACCCAAGATTTGCACGACTCTGACTTTGAATGTTACAGTCATTGTGGCATTGAATTCCAGGGTGGAAACATCAGTTTAATTGTTTTAGTGACCAGAAAACAAATTTTGATATGCGTCGGCTTAACCAAAATGAAAGGTTACGTGCCCTTGGCATGCTACAGATCGGCACAACACAGGCGGTTGTGGCGCGGACGATGAATGTTTCTCAGTCTGTCATAAGCAGGCTATGGTCCAGATACCGTGATACACAATCTGTACAGGACAGACCACACTCAGGTCGACCAAGGGCGACAACGCAAGCCCAGGATCGATTTATCCGTACCTTGGCCTTGAGAGATCGTGTCATCACAGCAAATCAGATCAGCGCTCGTCTTCAAACAGACACTGGTGTGAGAGTGAGTGGCCAGACGATTCGGAATCGACTGCATAGGGGTCACCTTCGCGCCCGACGTCCTCGCGTGATCCCTTGTTTGAGAGATCATCACATTCAGGCAAGACGTCGTTGGTGTAGGGGTCGTGAACACTGGGATAATCGACGCTGGAGCAATGTGATGTTTTCAGATGAGTCAAGGTTCACTGTTGATTTTTTGGACAGACGTAGGAGGGTGTGGCGTCGTCGAAACGAGCGCTTCCAAGACGTTAACGTCATCAGACATGATCGATTTGGGGGTGGTTCTGTTATGGTGTGGGGAGGCATCACTGTTGCTGGAAGAACGGCTTTACATGTTGTTGCAGGGCGTGTTACAGGCCAGTACTACCGGGACAACATCTTGGCAGTCCATGTTGTGCCGTTCGCACGACGTCATGGCCGCCGTTTCATCTTCCAGGATGACAACGCAAGATGTCACAGGGCCAGGATCGTTACAGGTTACCTCCAACAACAGAACATCACCACATTACCTTGGCCAGCACTGAGTCTCGACCTCTCCCCCATCGAGCATGTCTTGGACAGAGGTTACGTCAACGTCAACAACGTCCTGCCAATGTCCAAGAACTTGCTGCTGCGTTGCAACAGGAATGGGACAATCTGGACCAAAATGACCTTAGACGTCTCATTAGGAGTATGCCACGTCGGATCAATGCTTGTTTGGCAAACAGAGGAGGATTTACCCGTTACTGACTTGGTTGTGATGCTGTGGTAACTTTGCTGTTTGACCCTGGGTATCATTTTACCCTTATAATGGTCAGTCTGTGCCTTACTTAGTCTAACGATCATTTGGAATAAATCGATGAATGTGAACTTCATTTCATTTTGTCATTTGTTTCTTCGTCAGTTTCATTAGGTGACTTTAATAACACTTAAAAATCAAATATCCCCTACTTTTTTTGAATAGTATATATTTATATATATTATATATATGCTATCTAGAGTACATAAAATAAAGGAAGTAGGAATTAACCTGAATAGTTTGTATGTTGTCGTAGATCATCTATATCTATAGGTATTGATGAACCAGATATTAAAACCTGTAATTCCTGATGATTAAACATCTGTAACCATTCTAAATTTATAACATCCGCCATTCCTTGTCGAAAAGCTGTACAATGACTTCTTATCTAAAATATTTCAATATATTTTAAGGCTCATGACCAAAGTCTAGGATATCACACCCTGAACAAGTACAATTTGGTGGGGTAAGTCTTATTTTTAGCACACACATGTCACAACTGATAAATTGATCTTGGTATTCAATCAAAAATTAGTCACTAAACTACTCGTTTCCTTGCATAAATTTTTATCATTCTATCTATATGTATCAGTCTAGTAGACAGACCTAAATCTCCAGTGAAACATTCAACCAACAAGCAAACAATCCCCCTGTAGTAATATGTAATCAACTAACCTGTTTGTTAAGTCTATAATCAGCCATTAAATGTATATATTCTATTCTATTATCATTATTCACTGTTATATTTCGACCATCAATTTTTAATTCGATTACCTAATAAAATATAACATTACAAGTCACATAATAGTTACATATGTGGTGATAGGCAAAATGAGAGTTTTTTTTATTGAAATAGGAATTATAATTGGGAATTCAGACATTGTCATATTCATGCTAATAGTCCCCTAATTGCTTGAATAATTGGAGCAAAGCATATATATATGTACAATTTTATCAAATTCCATCTTCTTTGATCGTTTGTATTATTAAAACTTAATAAATCATTGTATGTACTCCATAACAAGTTAGCCATTAATCAATTTGTGTTAATTTTCAGGTAAATTGGTCTTATTGAATGTTGTTATTAGCATTAAACTTTATAATCCTCAAGTAAATTAGATTCCCTTTAGGTACACGTAAGTAAGGGGTATCTCTGGTTGATCAGCATTAACTAAGTATTGTTGTGTACATGTATATATTGTCTTGTTATATTTTCATATTTTATCATTGCTTGATAATGACTAGAGAAGCCTAGTCGAATTGTATTCCATAGAATTGTGACCTGTATACTCGAGTACAATTACTAAATGCCATTGAAACAATTTAACATTAATATACCATATTTTTACGCTATTTGAGTACAAGGGGCGGCCATTTTGTCTGTCAATTTTGTGTAACGGTGATATATTCAAACGTTTTTTGAAATTGGATAAAAATTATAACCTCTATAAGGTCCACAAGCTAAAAACGTGATTTTCCATACAGTCAGGAGCCATAATTCAGGAAGTTACGGGCCGATATGTGCGAATATTGAAAGGAACGGAGATCTTTGGGTTATAAACTTACATTTCAAGTTTCATCAAAATCAGAAGAAAATTGTGACCTCTAGAGAGTCCACAATCTTGATACATCATATTTTTACGCTATTTGAGCACGAGGGGCGGCCATTTTGTCTGTCAGTTTTGGGCTGATTTTTACGAAATTTGATCTCAACCATCCTTAGGGTGTAACAGTGATATATTCAAACGTTTTTTTTAAATCGGATAAAAATTATGACCTCTATAGGGTCCACAAGCTAAAAACGTGATTTTTCATACAATCAGGGGCCATAATCCATGAAATTACGGTCCAATACATGCCAATATCGAAAGGATTCGAGACCTTAAGGAGATAAACCTATATTTCAAGTATCGTTGAAATCAGATAAGAATTGTGACCTGTAGAGTGTCCACTAACAATGTGGACTGACGGATGGACAGGGGCGACGACAATATACGTCCTCATGAAAATGTGGGCGTATAACAAAAAATTTTCTTGTAAAAAACGTGATTTCAATTTTCGAACGAAAGTAGTGAATGACGAAGTTTTGAAATTGCAAAATCTGAGATTGCTATTATCTCGAAAAAGACTCTGTAATTCCGAAAATGTGATTTGTTTGAAAATAGGTAAAGAATTGACGAAACTATGGCCAATTTTCAAGTTCGGCCACTTCCAGTATGTAATCTTGCTCAACGAATGATACATTTGCAGAGAACGTAAAAAGAGCTCATCACCAAGCTAATGTGTGGCGTTCACTGGAAGATCGGAATCCATCGGAACTTGATCTGGAAGAGTATTGCTGGGAGAAAGATACCAAATTGAAAACATTACAACCGGTAAACTTGCTCCGGAGTCTGCCATGTTGCTCATCAGATGTGGATGCAGTAGTGACAGCTCATGTAGTACGTGTGCTTGTAGCTGCACTAGGGATGGCTTAGAATATACAATATTTTGCGCTTGTGCTGTCACAGGTTAGCCAGAAACACGACTAAAGTATTAAACTGGATATTACCTAGTTTTGTGGAAGTTATGTTCCTGTTTTGCAGTTAGAAATAGTTTTTTTTAAATGTTCAACAATTGGCCTGTGTCTCCATTTCAGGATCGACCCATGTGGCCCCGGAGCCCCTGATAGGGCTGTATTTGGTGTTATCCTATCACTCATACGCTCCTATGTCCAGAAATATATAGTTTATCTCTAGATTTAGTTTGGTTCGGTGAAATAATCGCCCCAAACTGCCGATAACGAGTTAAAGGGTCATATTGTCTGGCATGTTTGATTTTAATATCATCTAATCACCCCACAACATAATAAATGATTTCAGTGTATTCCTTGACCCCAGAAACATACGGTTAGACACCAAAATTATCATCCTAGAATAAATACTATGGGAGCTATAGGAAATTATTTGATGTGGCGGCCGTCTTGGATGCCATCTTGAATTTCTCAAAACGCTCAAGGGTGACCGAGGTTCACCCAGCAGATTATGAACAAGGGCACCCTAGGCTACTAAAATCAATCATAAAAAAAACTTTGTATACAATTTCCAGGTTCAGTCATAGGTCTGCCGGACTAAGGTATTGATGTGATGAAATGATACACCAAGGTTCATCACTCTCACTTTAATTAGAACTAAAGTTATCGTGTCCCAATGCATCACAAACCAAATTGCTTATCTCTCCTTACTGTAAGCAGAAAATGCTCATCTTCAAACTCCATCAAGGCATCAACCTAATAAACACCTACACCAAGTTTGAACATTCTAACTCAATTAGAAAGAGTTATTGTGTCCCAAAAAGTGTGACGTACATACAGACAGACGGATGGCTGGGGACATTTTAATAGTCCCCTTGTTTCTTCGAAAGGCGGGGGACAAAAATAAAACAAGAATTAGTTCAATACAAATTATGATTCTTCAGGTAAAGTTACTAATTCTTAAAAATAAAGTGAAACAAACTAATAACATTCTGGTAAAAATATTTGACTGGTTATTGGTTATGAACCTCAATTACTTTATGTGAATTAACATCATACCTCTGTTTCACCAAAACCGCTATTGACAACAGTATAATCTAAGCCCAATTCACTGACATCACCCTCATAACTCTTTAAATATAACAGATTCCTCAAAGAAATAAAACAAATAAAATAAAATATGATGAAAACATTGAAAACTTTTATAATATACTATTCAAAAAAAGTAGGGGATATTTGATTTTTAAGTGTTATTAAAGTCACCTAATGAAACTGACGAAGAAACAAATGACAAAATGAAATGAAGTTCACATTCATCGATTTATTCCAAATGATCGTTAGACTAAGTTAGGCACAGACTGACCATTATAAGGGTAAAATGATACCCGGGGTCAAACAGCAAAGTTACCACAGCATCACAACCAAGTCAGTAACGGGTAAATCCTCCTCTGTTTGCCAAACAAGCATTGATCCGACGTGGCATACTCCTAATGAGACGTCTAAGGTCATTTTGGTCTAGATTGTCCCATTCCTGTTGCAACGCAGCAGCAAGTTCTTGGACATTGGCAGGACGTTGTTGACGTTGACGTAACCTCTGTCCAAGCATGTCCCAGACATGCTCGATGGGGGAGAGGTCGGGACTCAGTGCTGGCCAAGGTAATGTGGTGATGTTCTGTTGTTGGAGGTAACCTGTAACGATCCTGGCCCTGTGACATCTTGCGTTGTCATCCTGGAAGATGAAACGGCGGCCATGACGTCGTGCGAACGGCACAACATGGACTGCCAAGATGTTGTCCCGGTAGTACTGGCCTGTAACACGCCCTGCAACAACATGTAAAGCCGTTCTTCCAGCAACAGTGATGCCTCCCCACACCATAACAGAACCACCCCCAAATCGATCATGTCTGATGACGTTAACGTCTTGGAAGCGCTCGTTTTGACGACGCCACACCCTCCTACGTCTGTCCAAAAAATCAACAGTGAACCTTGACTCATCTGAAAACATCACATTGCTCCAGTGTCGATTATCCCAGTGTTGACGATCCCTACACCAACGACGTCTTGCCTGAATGTGATGATCTCTCAAACAAGGGATCACGCGAGGACGTCGGGCGCGAAGGTGACCCCTATGCAGTCGATTCCGAATCGTCTGGCCACTCACTCTCACACCAGTGTCTGTTTGAAGACGAGCGCTGATCTGATTTGCTGTGATGACACGATTTCTCAAGGCCAAGGTACGGATAAATCGATCCTGGGCTTGAGTTGTCGACCTTGGTCGACCTGAGCGTGGTCTGTCCTGTACAGATTGTGTATCACGGTATCTGGACCATAGCCTGCTTATGACAGACTGAGAAACATTCATCGTCCGCGCCACAACCGCCTGTGTTGTGCCGATCTGTAGCATGCCAAGGGCACGTAACCTTTCATTTTGGGTAAGCCGATGCATATCAAAATTTGTTTTCTGGTCACTAAAACAATTAAACTGATGTTTCCACCCTAAAATTCAATGCCACAATGACTAACATTCAAAGTCAGAGTCGTGCAAATCTTGGGTTGGACCCCCATGATGATCCCAAGCATCACCTGCATTCCATGCGGTAGCTATTGGTGCGTTTGGGCGTCACATGTAACTGGAAATGTTTCTTCTGTTAGGTTCTATAGTGACTTTTTTCGTAGTCATTTACATATTTTAGTATTATGCCCCCAAAATCAAATATCCCCTACTTTTTTTGAATAGTATATTTTGAAAAGAGGGACAACAAAACATATGACCTCAGCATCTAAATCGTCCAAGCAGTCCGCAAAGGTTATCACAATATTCATCTTTAGCTAAATAAAGAGCAAAATCTTTATACTGTATATTATCATCTGCTGCACATTGACAAGATTTTATGACATTATCAAGGGCAATAGCTCAATAATCAGAAATTGTAGAAATTCAAACGGGTTCTTTATTTCAGGGATTTGAATACTGCATGCAAAGACTAGTTTTCGGATACATTCATAAACGAATATCAAAATAATGGTTATCTGAATCATTTTACTATCCTTTACAATGTTCTGAAGTCCTTTTGTGTTTGTTCTCTATATATATACTATATAATGTAGTCAATTTTACATTGATGCCATATGCAGTTCTGGGTACTTTTCTAACTTGTGTCATGTTATTAAGGGATATTACCAATAAAGAACTGTTTCATTCTATTTTCCAATAACATTCAGTAAGTCAATTTGACACAGATTTTGTCTTGTGTGGTTCAACGAATCTGGAATACTGTTACTGCCATACTGTCAAATCAGGATCTCGACATAGTGGACAAACTTATTTTTCTATCAGAAGCTTTAATAACAAGCGATTGCCATGCAAGATACGCCCACATTTTGCAAGAGATGGACAGAGAACGAGCTAAAAAAATAATGTAATTTTTTTGTACAATCAGGGGCCATAATTATTATTATTAGGCTTTCAGACTTTGTCTGAAAGACTATTGTTTTTACTAAAATTATTATTAGGCTTTCAGACTTTGTCTGAAAGTCTATTGTTTTTACTAAAATTATTATTATTAGGCTTTCAGACTTTACTGAGATTACTAAAATTATTATTATTATTATTATTTACCGCGGGAGCCTATTTCTCCATGATCGAAAACAGATATCGATCTAGGGTTCAATTTTCTCTCGGGAAACCATGTGGTGGTTACTCGATAAAGTACTTTTGAAACTTCTGCGCAGACCGGAAGTGGCCGAATTTTTAACGGTAGCAATAAATCAAAAATCGGCCGTGGTTTCGTAAATTCTTTACCTACTTTAAAACAATTCACATTTTTGGAAACCCTGAATCTTTTCCGAGATAATGGCTATCTCACATTTTTCAATTTCGAACATTCATCTATGGCTTTTGTCGTTCGAAATTTGAAAATTTAAATTTTTACAAAAAACTTTTTTATTAATGAATATTTTTTAGTCGTGTTTTACACAAAATTAACGAGTCATCTGACTTGGGCAAAAATGTGATTTTTTTTGTCTCAGTAATTTTCCTTGGCCGCCATTGGCTAATTCAGTTTTTCAGTCCTAGATTAATTATTTATTGCTCAATTTGTATAAAACTAAGTTCACATACTCCATTGTCTCAATTGTCATTTTTTTTGTTACCAATAGAGTTATCTGTCCGCACCGGAAGTGGCTTAATTTTACCAAAAACTACAATTTTGACAGTTAGGTACCATTTTTCGAAAGCAAATATTATTTTTTTTAAAAACTGATATAACTAAAAGAGTGTGCCCTTTAAAGGCGCACAAAATGTTGGGAACAGTTTTTTTAATTTCGATTTCATTTTCGAGCAAATTCGATTAAGAGGTGAAAAAAGGTGTAAAATTGACCTATTTACAACCCATTCAGGCTTTTCAGATTTTCAGATATTTCTACGTAACTTTTATAAACTTGTAGCTATAATCTATACGAAGAAAATGTATGTTAAAATTAGTTTGTAAAATAAGCAGTTACCTAGAAATGGGCAATTTTGCATAAGTCAAAATTTTCGTTATTTTGCCTGTAAAATAGTCAATTATTATTGGATTTTCACAAAAGTGACACCATTTGATTCAAAAAGCAAGTATGCGTCGTATCAAATTGATTACAATTTAAAATTGACACCGGCAGTGACAACATTTTGTCAAAAAGTGCATTTTTAACTTTTAAAATCAATATTTTTTTCAAACAAGAATTATTTAATATGTATTAATAATTTTAATTTTTTGTTTACATTCACATATTAATATAATCCATAAGGTCATATAGATTTCACAAAATGGTTTCTAAATGGTTCAGTGGCGGAGAAATAGGCGATTTTCAACAGGTCACTTCTCAAGGTTTTTGGTCCATAAAAGTGTCAATTATTATTCGATTTTCATAAAATTTTCACTGTGTGATACCTAATGCCATTTACAATGTCATACAAGTAATTTAAGATTTTCATTATCACCAGAAGTAATGTCATTTTGGCAAAAACTGTATTTTTAGCCTTCAAAACAGATATTTTATTCAAATGAGTCTAATTTGTAATGTTTTTAAAATTATGATATTTGATTCCAATCAACAAATAGATTAAACCCATACGATCATACAGATACCAGAAAATTGTTTCTAACTTGTGCGGTTGCAGAGAAATAGACGGTTTTATACAAGTCACTTTTCAAGGTTTTTGGTCTATAAAAGTGGCAATTATTATTCGATTTACATAAAATTTTTTACCATGTGATGCCTTGTGCCATTTCTGATTTCATAAAACTAATTGGACATTTTCATTATCACCGGAAATACTGTACACTTACATGTAACAAATGTATAAAATGAATTGATATTGCTGGATTTGGTTGATTCGGCGTCCATTTTATTTGATGTGTGCAATGCTTATGTGGAAACCTGTTTAATGGTTTCATTGGTACCGGAAGTGACATATGTTTAGGGTAACGTGGCACCGGTGAAACCGTAGTCATATAAATATATTTGATATTAAAAAAAACCCAGTTAAAATCGGTGCTCTTGCAAAAATCGTGATTTCACGGTCGGGTGTGACCAGATTAAAACACCTAAAGTATCGTTTAGTAGCTCGATGAATGGGCTATTGTATGACACACTTCCTGTCTGATTTCTGAAAGCCGGTTCAGTGCTGCTTGCAGGTCTAGTTCTTCTTATTATTATTTTTTTTTTTTTTCCACTTGAGCATATCTCAGAAACTATTTGTCGGATCAACTCAATGTCTTCGGTTTTACTATGAAAGTGGGTATGACTTAGAGATTAAAGCTATTTTGAACTTTCTGTGACAATGCGAAATGTCCGAAATCACCGAAGTTGTCGTTTTTTGAAATATTGCCGTAATATTAACAATAATTGTTGGATTTTAACATTTGATACATTTTGACATAGCCTGAGACACGGCAAATAGCTACGATTGTTTAGATTTTAGATTTTCAATTAATCTTCGAAGATATTAGGCGCCAAATTTTGAAAATTTAAATTTTGACAAAAAACTTTTTTATTTATGAATATTTTTTTATGGCGCTTTACCTATAATTAAGGGGTCGTGTGATTTGAGCAAAAATATGAAAAAATTTTGTATCGATAATTCACCTTGGCCGCTATTGGCTAATT